CACTTCCACATGATCTGTCTCAGAAAAATACTCTACGTGAAATGGCAAGAATAAATACCTGATACTGAAGAATGGGCCTGCAAAGCATTCACACAATCCTGATGCAGTTCCAGTTTTGATAGGCAGACTACATCTACAGAATGGAAGACTCTCGCATCCCTAAACTACTCCAGTATGGCCAATTAAGGGAAGGGAAGCGTTCACAATTTGGACAAAGAAAACTCTTCAGGGACAACCTCAAAGCTTCTCTGAAAGCCTTCAGCATTGACCCTGCCACCTAGAGGAAAGCACATGACAGAGCATCATGGTATCGCGCTGTGAAAACTGGCGCACAAATTGCAGAAGAAAAGTACCAGAGAAGAAAAGGAAGGCCAATGACGCTAGCTTCAGCTGGAATAACCTGCCCATTGTACAGCAGAACATTCAGGGCTCACATAGGTCTCACCAGCCACATGAGGAAGCACAGAACCCTGATTCAAAGCCCTTAGCCTACTGGATGGCAAAAGTGATGATCATTGAATCATGCTGGACTCACTCTCTCTCTCTCTCTTTCTCTCTCTCACTCTTTTATATATATATATATATATATATATATATTTATTTATTTATTTACTTTTTTAAGTTTTTTTTTTGGGGGGGGGGGGGGGGGCCTAAAAATGTGATATCTCAAAATTGCTACTTTAGTGTGTGTTTTTCTTCTTTTGTGTAATTATCCTACTATTTAGTCCTATTATTATCTATTCATTAATCTTCATTTTAGGAGGATTAAATGAAGCTCTGATTTTATTTTTCTTTCATTTCTCCAGTCTGCACGTAAAGTGAAGGAATCTAAAAAAATGGAGAAGAAGAGGAGAGCAGAGGAGAGACATAGGGAGAAGTTTCTCAACGGTGGAGGCCAGTACCCAGCCAACCATCACATTCCACATGCTACGGATGTCTGTGATGTTACTGTTGTGGCCATGCATGAGGGCAGGCTGACCAGAATATGAATTGAGAGGAGGGTGTAAACAGCTGCATCAATGAGACTAGGTTGAGAAAAAAACATGTGAAAGAAGTTGCTGACACAACCTGCTGCTGTTTCTATCTGTGATTGAACTCTATGAATAAATTTGTTGTCTAATTTAATACTTACAACTCCTGACTTGTATATGGCACTATTTATTATGACACTAAGACATGTGTGTGCTAGATGTTTGAGGGGAAAGATGAGGTTGTAGTCTGGTCTGCTTCTTGCTCTTACATGTACAGACACAGAGGAGAAGCTGTTTATTTAAAGAATATTAAGCTCACTACTTCACTGAATGGCTGTGTGTGTGCTGCACTTCCTAACCCTCCCCTGCTCATGCCTTGCTTTTTCTAGGCAGTACACAATCTGTGGGTGTAATCATTCATATATGCAAGTAACCTGGTAGGTAAGACTTGTTGGCATTTGGTCTCATTATTCAAAAACAATGTAAAAGTCTATAAACGACATACACATTAATTGATTTATTGTTTTTTTTTTACAAAAAGCAGAACAAAAATTGTGTTCTTTTACTGAAGAATAAATAAAAGGATGAAATCTATGAGTTAAATACTTACTTCTGAGCCAATTTGTATTTCAGTTTGAAATAAAGTCTAAATTGAACTGAAATTAAAGTCTAATTTGAACTGAAGGGTAAGGTAAAATAGACAAATGTTTATGAAGGTATTGTATGGCACTGCAACCCTAACCAGCCATTTAGAATTACTATAGTTGATGTCTGATACACAGTTAGGTGTGGACACAACATTTCCAAATATCTAAAACTAGATCATCTGTGAGATTCTATCCAGAACTTTTTCTTGATTGGTCTAATTTCAGCCAAAAGGTTAAATGAAAACAAAACAAGTACTGTTTCACTCAGGGAGATTGTCTTTGTGCTTTCTCCCTGTTGCACTATTTGTATGACTTCTACCTCTTGTTTGGTCTCAACCTTCAACATTTTGGTTTTGTTTTTACTTTTTCCATATAATGTCTCAACTAGGGCAACAAATGTTATTTTATAAACTTTTGATCTGTTGCTCTAGGATATATTGTCATTGTTTCTTCTGTAAGACACCATCTGAACTGTCTGTCACTGAATGCTAGGTCATAATATGAATGCTACTTAAAGCTTATACCATTATGACATCATTCACAGTCTTTCATGAAATCAAATTTCATGAGAAGCCCTGAATGAACTGACTACATCTGATGTCTCACACAACATGTAGATCAAATTGTACAGAGCTCAAGAATCATCTTAAAATCAGAAACATTAATATCATCAAGTTAAATTCATGAATCGTATATGCTTATTACTTAGACTTAGGTCCTCCCACACCGTTCGGCACATTGGGCAGCTAGCTGTCTCCATATAGATCTGTCGTTGGCAATGTCTGAAACCTTCTCTTACCTGGTGTCCACTGTTCTGAGATCCTCCATGAAGGTGTGGCGCCATGTAATACAAGGACATCCCTGTTTGCACTTTCCTTGTATTGGCCTCCATGTATATGCTTATACTTAGTCTGAAAATGATTTTTGTTTCATCACTAATATTTAGACAAAGCTTGTAAAACATCAAAAGAAATTAACACTCTTTTAAAAAAAACATTTTTCATGAGCTATGCACCTAAGGGGAGAGAATTCAGATGACGTTTTATTCCTTCTGGAAACAAATGGTTGTAGAGCTAACTTCTACCTAGATTCACAAGTGTACATTAAATCATTATTCAACCTTCAATTGTTTGTTCATATTTAGATGACTAACAAATTAAATTTTGTTCTTGTTGTTGATGTACATTTTTATTTTGTTTTCATTTCCTAATTTTGGTTAAGTATATGTCTATGTTTATAAGAGTGTTTAAAATAAGGTAAAGAAATTGTGGATATCGTCTCATCTACAGTTCAATAAAGATGTGTAAATAGGCTTTTTATTTTTTAGATGCTAAATGTGTGTCTTGAAGATATCAGAAGTCTATATATCTTATTTTAATTATAAATATCATGAATTTCTTGAACCTGTAATACATTTTCTGGCATTTTTAATAATCAGAGTAGTTTGTAAGTTATAATTTAGACAGTTTCTGCACAATTATTATGTTTCTGCTGCTTCCTTGTTTATGTACTCTTGAATGTACATAGAAGAGCACATACTACAAAACTAATGTGTAAATAGACAGGCTTTAACTATCTTCCATTCAGTAGCAGTAAATACCATAGTACATGTTCTAATCCTCAAAGGGAAATAACTCATTTCCAATAGTGCTAATATCAACCAGGATTAGTTGACCTATTTGTTAATTCTCACTATTTATAAAATATCTTCCTGTAATGTTTTAGACTTGTTAAATGCCTTGACCAGTAATTATAAAATAAAACAATTTGTAAGAAAAAAAATTGTGACCAACTTACCTTGTTGATCTAGCTTAAAATGTAATGGCTATAAAGATGATTCTAACCTATGTAAATTAAGATGTTAGCAATTTAAAAAAAAATATAATTTCAGTATTAAGAACATAAAGTATATAAAGCTAAATCTAATATTAATGTCTTTTATTTTTTTAATATTAATAATAATAATATTCGAGTCTGATAATAATAATATCTTCGAGTCTGAAGATTAGTGAGGAATTTAGTATTTTCAGTGGCTGCGCATCCCCAGCTGTGATTTACATATTTTGCCACATTAAGGGCAAGCATTATTTGTTTAACTAAGCAAATAAATAACAAAACTTATTACATAACATTGTTAATTTATTTTACAATGTTATTCTAATGAAGATGGGTCTATCCTATGTAACATAAGATTTGTCTATATGTGCATGGTCAAGTTAAGACCTGACACTAGCTGTTCTGTATGTATAAATTTGATTCATGGATCCCAATGATATATAAGCTTCCCCTGATTGCTTATATTAAATTATGTGCTATTGTGACGTTTGTTCTTCAGAGTCTTAACATTGCTTCCTCTGAAAGGTTTACAATTACATATATACATATATATTTATTCTGAAAACCTCTGCTGACTGATTCTGAGATGGTATTTATTATAGATTGGAAGGGAAAAACAAGCCACATGTCAGAATCAGTTTTGTATGTGTTTGCAACTATTGTAGATTCATAGCTAAAACTTGCATCATTCTAGATTTCATCAGAAGTGTTACTAAATGAGTATCTGGTATTTATTTATAACCCAAGTGTTTCAGTGAAACTTCCATTAGCTTTAACTTGTAAAAGTAGTACAAGGTCAAGTCTGCTTTAGGTCAATATTAGAGATAGTTTGAACTAAAAATGTATACTTTTTTTAGGCCTGTGTTATTATTAAGAGTTTCTGCATTGCTTTTGTTTGATTTGGGATGCAATTATATTTTTAAAACATTTTTATTGTGGATATTTTTATTTAAAAAAATATTGAAAGACAATATTATACATACACATTTTATGAATACAAATTGATTTTTCTATATGTTTCATTGTGCTGCATTCCATATCCTCACTCAATTCAGAAGTATGATGCAGTCTATAATAAAATTTACTTGAGTTTCTGATCTACTTGATAGCCTGAAAAAAAATGTTATGAACCATTCTAGTTTTTTTTTTCTTTATTTTAGTTCTAGTATCTTATGCATTTTTTTTATGTCAGTTTAATGAATATTTTAATGAGTATGCAAATATAAAAATTTCTTTGGATGTTCATTACACCAAAGGGTAAATTTAAAAAAATTCTACAATGAATTATATTAAGCCCACATTAGACAGTTTTGATAAGAAAGTTTCATTTCCCCTTCCAGACCTTTTGGTGTATAGGGCAGATGATGTAAAGGTTATTTGTTTCTGTGACCTATGGTTAATGAGGGTCTCATGTGGCCAGCACAACGACCAACCACCTTTACTTTTCCCCAACTTATGTCAGGCACCCATCAGAGCTGGATGGACTCAAAAGCAACAGAAGATCCTTAAATTAAAAATCCCAGTCTTCACCAGGATTCGAACCCTGAACTGCTCAGCCACCGCACCTCCTTTACCTTACTTACACAAACATAAGAATTTCTTTGAATGTTCATTATACCAAATGGTAAATTTAAAAAAGATGATCTGTCATAATTATAAGGCATTTTGTCTTCGATTGTCAAAATCAAGGATGAGTTCAGTATTTCACATGACCATGCAGACCCAGTTGCGATGTGATGCAGACAAAGCCGTTGTCCAGCATGGGTCTGTTTTATTTTTGTTTGCGCCATAACAAGCAAGTAATAACCACTTGTTTTTTTCTTAATGACTGATTTGATTTAAATATAACTGCTTTTAATTTTCTTTACTGTCCAGTGCTCATGTGGTATCCTTCATAATGTTTCCTTTAAGAGAGATAAAAAGAGTTTAGAAATAAAAACATCAACTGCTGAGTCAGGATTTTGTGTTTTTACCATCACAAAGGAGATACAAGACTCAGTTTAGAAAGACAGACACAAAAACTCTTTGTTCATTAGGCAATCAAATCATTAAATACAATTCAACTAGCTGATATAAACATTTCACATGTAACTTTGGAGTGAATCTGGTGTGAATGTATATTTTGTTTTTTAAAATTATAATGCTGTTTTTTTGTGTGTGTGCACAAATAGTTAGACAAATTTACTCATGGGTAATAGAGATTATTTTTATAGTCAACATTGCATCTTCAGAGCTAGTTTCTAGTTTATGACTAAATGAGTGAAATATTTTAACAAGTTTAGGGTTAGCATAATAATTTATTTAATTTTTTTTATTTACAGAATAATATATTTAGTTGATTCTGTTGTTTTATTAGTGTGTGTGTGTTTGTGCTCCAACAGTCTTTAAGAGTGACAGTGTTTTCTGTTATTGATTTCAAGTGTATTTGGTCTGGGTACAATGCTGTTGATTTCAATGTGTTATTTCTGTTGTATTTGGTCTGGGTACAATGCTGTTGATTTCAATGTGTTATTAGAATGCACATTAAACTGAAACAAATGTTTTTCTCCTTGACAATGCAATAAAACATTTAGCCTAATCTACAAGTCTGTGTTGTTGTTTATTTTTTAAAAATTAGTGTAAATTCAAATTTCTATATTTAATGTCTTTTCTTACTTATTAGAAATGGTTGGAGGACATCTCCCTCAGCTGGTAAGAGTCTTAGAATTGAAATGCTTTGGTTAAGATTCAGAGACATTGTCCTGCTAACAAAAGTTAGTGACCCAGATTAAGATTAAACAGTTCAGTGAAGTAAAACATGAAGATTGCTTATTACCACATTTTCACACATATACTTCGCATATGTGTTTAACCCGAACAAATTACAAAATAATTAAAAGCAAAATCATAAAACCCTCACCCTTATATACCATGCATGTGCAAGGCATGACTTAACGTAGACTTATCACAATAGATTACTGGTATTTCAATAACTTTCTACTGCATAGGTACTAATTGTTTTCTTGAGATTTATAATGAGAAGTTCATAAGTTTTCCAAGGTACATTTCACAACCGCACAGCAAACAATAGAGGTATAAAGACCCACTGGTATGTCCATAATACAATGTTTATGTATAAAATAAATTGTGTATACCCAGCACCCCCCCCCCCCCCCCCCCCCAACAGCTGCCATTCGTTTGTAAAAAACTTTGCAGGTAAACTTTCTTTTTGTTCTCACCTCTTGAAGGAGGAAGGGGCTTGCAATAAAATCAATCAAATTAATCAACAGTAGCAATCACATTATTATTATAATCACTATTATTGGCCTAACCAAGGTTAAATAACATTTTAGTTTTATGTTCTTATTTGATTTATAGAAATTTCTTTTAATAAATCCTAATGCTTTGATTGATTTTTTTATAGTTTCATCAATATGTGGATTCCATGACAGTTTTTCATTTATTATAACACCTAGGTATTTTGCCTTTTTAGTCTGTATTACTGGTTTGCCATGAATAAGATAAGTGAAATTAATTTGTTTTAGTTTTTTTGTTACTCTTAACAACTGACATTTTTCTGGGTGGAAAGACATGCTCCAATTTGATTCCCATTTCTGTAATTCATCTAATTCTCTTTGTAAAATATCTGTGTCTTGTGTTGTTTTTATTGTTCTATATATTATGCAATCGTCTGCAAATAATCTGACTTTTGTTCCTAAAGTAATGCAATTTGGTAAATCATTTATGTAAATTAATAATAGTAGTGGACCCAAGACTGTTCCTTGAGGTACACCTGAGTTTACTGTTATCGGTGTTGATTTAGAGCCATTTATTATTGCAGTTTATTCTCTCCCTATCAGAAAATCTTTAATCCACTGATGCAGTGGACCATTAATGCCAAAATATTTTTAATTTTTTAAGCAAACTATGGTGGTGAACTTTGTCAAAAGCCTTAGAAAAATCTAGTAAGATAGCATCTATTTGTTTACTATTATCTAAACCTTTAGAGAAATCATCAATTAGTCCTATTAGTTGTGTTTTACATGATCTATATTTCCTAAAGCCATGTTGGTATGGTGTGAGGAAATTTTGTTTGTCTAAGTGGTTTATGATGTTGCTACATATTATGTGTTCTAGGATTTTACATGTGATGCTGGTAAGTGATACTGGTCTGTAGTTTCCTGGGTCAGATTTTTCTCCTTTTTTAAATAGGGGGGTGACATTAGCTTCTTTCCAGTCCTTTGGTACTCTGCCCTGGTTAAGTGAAGCCTGAAAGAGTATTTTGAACACTGGGGCTAGCTCATCGCTTAGTTCTTTGAGTAATCTAGCTGGAATACCATCAGGTCCAGACGCTTTATTTGGTTTGGTGTTGGCTAATAGTTTTTGAATTCCATTTTCTTGTACTACTATATCTTCTATGTTGTCTACTTGGTTCAAATTCAGTAATATGTCTTTGTCTCCTGGGGCTGAGAATGCTGATGCAAAGTATTTGTTTCGGATGTTTGCTTTAGTTTCATTATCATTATGTATTATGTTATGTTCATCATTTAATGGCGCTATGCCTGTTGTTTCCATTTTCTTAGACTTAATGTATGACCATAGGTTTTTGTTGTTATCTTTAGATATTACATTGTTTATGTATTCACTCTGCAGCTGTCTGCTTACTTTTTGGGTTAAGTGTTTAATTTTTATATACTTTTTGTAAACTCTTTCTGCCTTAGTTCCTTTAAATTTTCTATACAGGTTTTCCTTCTGTTTACAAAGCTTCTTTAGTCTATTATTAAACCAGCATTTATTTATTTTGTTTGATGTGTATTTAGTTGGTATATGATTTTCTATAATGCTTTTAAGATGGTTTTTAATGAAATTCCAGAGGTCATCGACTGGTTGGTTAATGTCTTTTTCTAATAAGAATGTTTGTTGAAAGTTTAATGCAGCTTGGTGTAGTTGTGTTAGGTTACATTTATTCCAGAGTAAGATTATTCTTTTGGGTTTTGAATTGGCTATTGCTTTTATCTGACTGTGTATTTTTATGATCTCATGGTCTGATAGACCAGGGATAATATCATAATCAACTACTAATCCAGGTCTGTTGGTTAAGAAGAGATCTAATGTGTTGTTTAATCTAGTTGGCTTTTTAATGATTTGATCTAAACTTAGGTATTGTAAAGTTTCTATGAAAAGCTCATTTATGTTCTTAAGGTTTTGGTGTTTATCTATGGTTAGTGTTTTCCAATTTATATCAGGTAGGTTGAAATCACCCATAATCCAAAAACTGCATTTTTATTTGTCTCTTTAAGTGTAGTAATCTGATTACATAGTTCCTGCATGTATTCTAAACTAGAATTTGGTGGTCTGTAAATGCTGCCTATTATTAGGGATGTTGAGGTGGTATTAATTTTACAAAATGTGGATTCTATATTTTTTGAGTTAGGTAAGGTAATTTCTTCTGCTATAAGAGTGTTTTTTTATTGCTAGAAGAACTCCTCCATGATTATCAGCCCGATCTTTTCTAAAAATTTCATAATTACTAGTATTAGTATGATATAAAGGCACAATGTTTTTTTTTTAGCTATAATAAAGTATTGTACTATGATTCAATTTTTAGCTGCTTAAAAATAAACACACTTTGATTGCATCCAATCACCTTAAGTTTTATTGAGTATTTAATTTAATGCAGAGATGAAAGAAAGAAATTTTTAATGACATGCAGTTCCAAAGAAACAGTTGGTTTAAAGTATCAGATTATCTAAATCACATCCAGTTTGAGATAAAAGAAACAAAAGTAATAATTATGACATCTTTATGTATATTATTTTTAATAGCCTTCCTGCTCTTTTTACAAAGCTTGTATCAACTCACTCTGCCTGAGTGGAGAAAAGTTTGTACATCTTATTTCTCCCACACCCATACTCAGATCAAGCTAAAACTTTCCAAAATTACTTATTGTGCCTAACAAAAAAGGATGGCTGCCTGGTTGTGTTGTATGTTTGTTGGAATAGTTCCGTCCTGGGTTCATATTCTGCCCACTCCAATCCCCCGTTGTCCTAGGAAGTAGATTATCTTCAACTTTGAAGGAACATCCGAAGCATGTAAAACATTTTTACAAAAACATTAATCAATTTAAAAAATTAACCCATTGTCAATTAATTATTGGAAATTCATTATTTTGTTTCATATCAAATAAAGGAAATAACTTGTAAATTACAGAGTAATATAATTGTAAGTGGAGAGCTGTTTCCCTTACATATGATAAGCTTTGTTTTTAAAAAAAGGATTATTTTTTTTTGTATTTTGCTTGTTTAAGTCACTTAACACAAGTCTCAAATCCCTTAAACTTTCTTTTTATTGAGTGATAAGTTTTATCAGAGTCCAAATTCTATGCAAAGCTTGGACTTTAGACTAATTTTAAAACAAATTTGTTTGAAGCATTATTTGGATGAATTCTGTCTGGTCAACTTTCCCATCACCATTTAGATCTGCCTCTTCCAGCATCTCTTCCAGTTCTTTTTGGGTGAATTTAATACCAACTAGATTACATGCTCGCTTCAATTTCTCTATAGAAATGCTGCCTGCATCATCTGAAACATTTGAAAAACAAATTAAGATTCATGTTGAATTTACTTTTAAGCTCCCAAATCCTAGCACATTTTGACTGCTGAAGACAAGACTGCAAAATGTAGCCAACTTTAATCATTTTTGATTAAAATTTAATTTTAAAAAATGCAGTTAGTTACAAATCATCAATTAAATCTTGTTATTAATCAATGGCTAGATCAAAGTATCAACTATAGCTCAGTACTAATAAACAAATAATCAAATAATGGTTTTATCTGCAACAACCATGGAAAAGATAATGAAAAGAAAAATAATTGTTTAAACCAAATTAACACTCCAATATTTATAGTCATAATATGGTAGAAATAAGTAACCTTGGAAATCACATAATTTATATAAAGACTGATGTAAAGTTTATCAGTTTCTTTCAATAATGTAGCATGTAATTTTCCATATAAATATAAGATATTCTTATAGATGCAAACCTAAAACCATGGCTAGAAAGTATTTTTTAAAAATACAAAGTAAATGGCCCATTCTAAGTAATTAAGAAGAATGCAGCATCTATATTTAGTTTTGAGACAGACGTGTTATATAAAAACAAACTATATCATTTTTAATTATCAATAGACAATAATTTGAATAGCAATTAACATTTTTCACTAATTAAATACCTCCTGAAATAATAATTTTTCCACAGGGTAGGAAGTTGTATGTTTGTTTTAAAAGTTTTGAATTTTCCTTCATAATGATTACTACAACCCAGTCCATCCCAGTTTAATCCTCCTGTAGGATGGCAGGGGATGGAGGCAGGCAATGATCAAAATTTGGACCATACTCACAACAGTTCAAAGTGCTTACCATACAAGTAGGCAGCCATCTTGTCAGAAAGTAAATAAATGCTGCTTCTCTAAATCTTCAAGTATTACTTTATTCTCCAAAGATTAACTATAAGAACCACACATTTTTATTACAA